GCTGGAAGCAATCCAAAACATAAATAGAATTTTAGTTCTCCTTTAGAGTTTGTGACCCCAATTACCCTCTGTAGCTCCTTTGAAAGAGCGTGCAACTGAACACATAATTATGAAACACTTTCGAATTACGAAACAATGTCAAATTAACTTCAGTTGAATAGCTAATCTCTATTTAAAAAAAGGAAAAATCAGTTATTAGAAAGCTGGAACAGATTAACTGGTTCTCCCGACAGCATGTCATGTGAGTCTTGAGACTTCTCAGACCTTAAGGAGGTGCTCAGTTGATTTTCATGTGTATCTTCTTTACCTGGTGCTGAACTTTGGAGAGTATTCTGTCAGTATCTTCACTGTTTCCTCCTACATGTCATGCATATCTAGGAGCAAAACCACAGGTAAGGACACTAATATTAAATGAATTTTCCATATATTTTTGACGAGATTAACTTCCTTTTATTTGTGAAAATGTTGCAGAGGGCATTGCCCTGTAACCGGAGGAAGGTCTGGCTTGGAGAGGGAGAGATGCTAGTATTTAATATAGCCTACCTTATCACAAGGCTTCTGTCAACTCCACGCTATACTGTTGAGCTTTGTCAGTAGCAAGTGTTAGTTTGCTGCCTCCTTAACTCCCTTTTTTCTGGTCTCTGGGTAGATTTTCTGGGTCAAATGGATCGATACGCCTCCTCCCTTCTAAAGGAAGTCACGAGCATCCTTTCTGTCACAGAGATCTCATTGAATACAAACTGGGTCCCACCAAATCAGTTTTTTACCATTCTCTGTTTGTTCTTTGTTCCCAATCTTCTTTTCAGGCCCTTTCGAAAGTCATCTTGTTTCAAAGTGCAGAGGGACTCCAAGTGACGACTCCTCAAAGAGTTCTTCTATCTGCAGAAGGAATCTTGGCCTCAGAGGGCATTCAGGGACTGTGAAAATCTCTCACTAGAAGAGAGTTAACATAATGAAATTTCCACTTATTTTAAGCTAGCCTTAATTTCAGTGCATATGTATCATTTCCAGTTGAAGTGTTTCATTTTTACAGTCTCACGAGATACAGCTTCACTGTTTTGCCCATGAGAATGTTACCTACAATCTCTGTCGGAAATGACGATCTTTTGACATACAATTCAAGTAAGCAGACGCTTCTATGAAGGGCAATCTTAATGAGTTAAATGGTGACCTACGGGATGGTGAGTGTTCGTCCCAGCACTATCATCCCAGTAGGTGTGAAGGGTTCTTCTGCAAAACTATGCTCTTTCTTCTTGAGTAAGTGCTGTCCTATGGAAGTCTTTGTAAAGCAGAGAACAGTCAGCGTGGCAGTTGGCAGGAGCCATAAGGAGGCTGTACGATAGCACAAACTCTAAAATTTTCCCTTTCCTAACCCTTATCTTACCATCTTGACTGCAGAATAGTCAAGAGTTGTCTGCTTTGAGATGGGCTTGTTCCTTCTCCAAAACTCCTGAGCTTAATGAGATCTGTTATCCTACACGAGCTTAAGAGGGTTCTTAAATAATACCTGTTGGAAAAAAGAAGATACTGTGCAGATGCTTAACTAGACAGATAAGCCTCTAAGACAGGCTGTCATAGAAACTGCTGGCCTTCTGCAAAAGGCCAGTTAAAAGCTCCTTGGAGGAGGATATCCACATGCCTCATTTCTGGGATCCTTGCCTGTGGGCTTAATGTCTGCGAGCTGTGCAGGCTGCATACTCCTCCTTCGTTTACTCAGCAGCAGCAAAGCCTCTCAGGTTGGAAAAACAAGAGAGTGGCCGCATAATTGAGAAGCGATATGATATGATGATAAGCCCCTAACCATTCCTGTGCTCTTATAACAGTTCTTGTTTAGTAATAGTGTACATTTTTAGTTTTGACTGTTGTATATTAAAAACCACAAGTGTTTAGGTAATTGTGAACAACTTTCACATTTGCAAATTTTTTAAATATTAAGATGAGATCTGCATGATATTAAAGCATTTATTTCCAAATGCCTAGTTAAACATATGACCTTTGGTTTTAAAAAGTAATTATCCAAAGCTTATTTAATATGGGCTCCCTTCTCTTTCCCCCTGTGGATGATTTGTATGTACTTTCATGTTTCCATTATAAAATTGCTGGAGGGATATTGCTGGCAATGATTTATCTGTCTGGTGCACATTGGTATTTTTGGTCCTTCTAAAATAGATGGAGAAGTTTAAGCTGAATCTTACAAATGAGTGTGTGGTAAATGAAGTAGGATTTTAAATAAGAAGTTGTGGAAAAATGAGCTGAGCCTTCTTTTTCATAATCATAATCATTAAACTTGGCTATGTCAGAATAGTCTTGCATGCATTAGGAAAAAATAACTCAAGTATGTAGATCAGTGGTTATAAAATGTGTTTTAAAATGGGTGGGTAAGGCACCGCATTTGAAATCCAAAGCATCTTGCTGTAAATCCAAACACGAGTAGAAGCCTTACTGTAGGTTGCCAGATGGCACCTCAAGTTCACTCAGCTGTCAAGGGCTGTATAAGTCCTTCAGGTCCAGCAAGTCCAAGCTGGTCAGCATGAAACTGCAGCAATTGATGCCTCAGGTCTAACATACTGCCTTCATTTGGGAGTTTCCTCTCCCTTTGAGGAAAGAGGAAGGTGCAGATTGTTTTCAGTTGCCAGGAGTAGTGGAGTGCCGCTCAGGACAGCTGTATACAAAGGTTTTAAATCCTTTTGGTGTTCTGATTTTAGAGCGCTTATGTGTTGAACAGGTTATCTCAGGTAACATGAGGGAGTCTGTGAGCTGCCCCTTGCCCGGGGCTAGAAAAAGAGCTGGGGATTCACAAGACAGGAGGAAACCTATTTCTGCTGCATTTGCTATCCATGTGAAGAGTGATCATATAAGAGGAATACCAGGAGAGAGTTTGAGTAGTTTGAATTCAGGAACAATGAGAGTTTCAGGCAGATCAGAAAAAAAAAAATTTAGAAAATAAATGAAAACTGGTTTGGTTTTCTTTTTGTTTCTTTTTTTTTGGTAGTGCCAGAAAATACACAGGACACTAATTCCTCAGTAATCCAACAATTAGACATAATACTCCTACTCATAAAATAACAGAATCTGATCAATCAGTTAGTTAAGAAGAAAACACAATGTTTGTGATGGCTTGTAGTTATGCCTCTCATTTAGAGGTTGTATGTTCATATCAAATCCTCTCTGTTAGGAAATAGAAGTTGTTACTATCATGACTGTGTGGAATGAACTGTTGACTTCAGATTGATACTTGGAATAAAACTCAGAGTACTGTGAACTTATTTTACTGCTGCTGGTGCTCTAGTATTATCAGTGTCACGACTGAAATTCACAGCCAGACATTTTTTGTATGAAGGAGAAGTATAAAAAGCAAAATAACTGTTGTTGTACTTGAAATATTTGTTATCCCATATGGAAAAAGGGTTTCCTATTAATGAAGCATGGTTCAGTCTTGCTACAATTGTGACCTCTAGTGGAAAAAGTCCGTTTGTTATCATAATGATTATGCATCGAATTGCAATTCACAGAGTGTTGCAATATTCATTATGTCTAATGTCATAGCATTTCCAAGACTCATTAAAGGTAAAATCGCTTCCAGGCACCATACTATCCATGTAAAAAAAATACAATTCTTTCCAAGAATGCCCCTGAAAAGTCTCTGCAGATTTTTATAAAAGCTAATTTTTATAAAAATATGGTCTCAGGCTTTCAGGAGGAGGCTTGGAAAAATACTCAATTGCAGAAGCAGACATTTCTTGGAGAAGGTTCCCTTATAAAAAGTCCTGTTGTTATCCCACAACAATATGTATTGCAGTGACAGCATTACTTGTGTGCAAATCTGTTGAGATGTTTTTAGATATCAGCTCTGAAAGACATTACAAGAAAAGATTTATCATGCCATTAAACAGGCAGGCAAGACGATTTGTAAAATATAATCTAGGAAAACAGTCTGAACACAAAGTACATAGTACAGCAAATGAGAATTGCATATGGTATTTTTCATATTTGGATGAACACAAAGCTATTTATAATCTTAAATAATCAAGATATGTGAGCTACAGACAGGCGAGTCTCTTCCATCAGCAGAGGCAATGTCTGCGCAGCCAGCAAGGCTGTTGACTTCAGTCCTCTGGCCTGAGCTGCCCTGGCTAGTTTTCCAGGCAGGACCCCCAGAGTAGTTTCAGTTAAGCTGCTCCGGAGGAGCCTCATTCAGGGTATGTGATCACCTTCCCCCTGGGAAAGTCTCAAGGTCTTGATTGTCAAAATAAAAAGATGTTGAACAAAAGCGGAGGAGTGGTGTGTCTTATTTTTGTATACAACGCAAGTGGAAATATAGCCTTTTTCACCCCTCTATAGTCAGTCAGTGGAGTGGGTTTTATTTTCTTTGATTTTTAAATAATCAGACATTGTCATTGTATTATTTACTGAATGAATGTCTGTACACTTGTATTCCCAGCTTTTGCAAACCAGAAAGCAGGCTATTTGATACAGACATCAATTTGCTTAGCTATGAAATAGTTTTGATTTTTGGCTGATAATAGTAATTCTGTACTTGTAGGGGGTTTTTTTGTTTTATTTTGGTTTTTTTACAGTTTGAGCATGAAAGATTGTACATGATTAATCATAGCTAAGCTCAGTTACTTGGCAAAAATCCTGTCAACTAGAATATTTATTGCATTTTCTTGATACCCTGCTTGTTACAATATTCTGCACTGTTTACGAAAAGCAGCATTGACAGGTACTGACATGGTGGCGGGATATCTTGTCACATCCATAGCACCAGACAAATTGAACAGTGAGATTCCAAAAGCTCCCAAGAGCCATCATCTTCCCCAGCTGGGATTTGGAAACTGCCTTGGGGCTTTAATGATGAACTTTGAAGTGTAGCAGGGAAAAGGGAAGCATTCCCTAGAGATTTGCAGCATCTAGTTACGATGCTACATAGTGATAAGTAATAGAGAGGAGAGATTTGTATGCTGGGACTGACTGAAGTTTTTTTTTTTTCTTTTTTTCAGGGTATGAACATAATTTTCCACGTAGCCTTGGCTCTCTTAAAGGTAAGTCATTGATAAGGTGGTTTTTTAATTTTATTAAACTGTATGGAATATTTTCTTAGCTTAATGTGTCGTGTCTAAGGGAACAATAATAGTGGGACTTCTGGAGGAGGGAACGGAGGAGAAATATCATCCATTTGGGCAGAGATATCTTCAAAATTGTACTTACGGTAGATCTGTTTTTATTAAACTTAATCATATCATAAAGTTCCTGGAACAAGGAGTGCAGTCTAAGAATTTAAATGTCTCGTGTAATTACTATTAAGAAAACAATTCTGATTCATTTTACAGCGTATTTATTTTGTGGCTGGGTTCTTTCATATAACTATTCAAGAAGCATGACTGAATATTATTTGGTATCAAATATATTTGTAATGTCAAGAAAGGAATGGAAGTCTCTTGTAACAGGGGAACTTCTGTCTTTGGCTTGGACACAGAATTTACGTAAACAAACCAACCAACCAACCTGTAGGTAAAGCATTGGCCCTTTTGATGCCAGCGAGCTAGCTCAAAGTTAACTTACATTAACCTTCACAAGTTGGCACTAGTTCAAATCCAGTCCACGTGCAGGCACGTGGTATGGAATTTGTAACGCCACCTTTGAATTCAAATGGTATTCCCATCAAATAATTTAGGCTAAAGCTCAGGGTAGAACAGCCTGTCATTCCTAACACAGCCACCCCATAATGTGGACACAGGCTAGTATCATTTGACTGTTGCTAGTCCTCTAGTGTGTTTTCCTTATCATTTCCCTAGAAAGGGCAAACAGCTACTGGTTGAGCTGTTCAGTAAAGAGTGATTCTCAGAGACTCAACTTTGCGGCACGAAGTCCTACAGCAAAAGTGCTCCACACCAGGAATGTATATATGCTGCTGCTGTGAACAGAGCAACTGGAGATGTCAAAACACATATATTTTCACTTGAGGTCGGGTAACTTGGGTGAAGTACTGCAGTGTAGGTATGAGGATAGTATGTAGCATTATGGTAAGGAAATGTCCAAAATAACTTGTGTTTTACACTAGCACAGATAATGTGTCAAATGGTAGCGTGACTTTCTACATGAGTATATGTATTAAACGAAGTCGCCGATAAACAAGAAATTTGTTTAATGTACGTTTCCAGGGAAGTGCTCCTACACAAATCTAAATTTGTAAAAAGGGGGGAGGGAAGTGTGTGCTCTTTTCTTCCTGTTTCGTATTTTATTTGCAACTCTGGGGGCTTGTTAATTTTCCTGTTTTTAAGGCCAGTATGGATAAAGGGAAATCTAGTAGGTTATGGCATGATAGATGGTAAAAGAAGTGAAAGCAAGCATCCAAGCGACGCCCAACAGGTATGCTGCCATAGTAGTAGGAACAGGTTCTGGAAAGAGGTTGAGATACCAGCTTATGGATCTTAAAACTGAGGAAGAAAGAAAAGGAGGAGTATTTGCACTGAGCTGAAAATGGCTGGCAAGGTTTTCAGGAAAGGAGAACTTCGTTCAATTCGGTTATGGAGGATGGCTTTGAGACCATGGGTGTACGCCCAGTGGTCTGTTTTCCTTATGCTCCCTGCTGCTGCTAGTGGGAATGGTTCAACTGAGGTTAGCAGCAGAACAACTGTTTAGAAAATGTGATAACGTTGGAAAGGACTAAAATCCTTAACTCACGGATGTCATACTGCAAATAGGGAATTTTTGTGTGTTGAATAATTAGCCCAATTTCTTTTAACAGAAAGTGCTCAGTCTTTTCATTTTATGTATATTCCACAACATGCTGCTTATCCAATTGAACATTTCTCTTTGGCTGTTCCAGAAGAGGAAAATTCAAGAAAGTATTTTGTTAGTCTTAAGAGTTGGTTTTAATTCTGCTTATAGCAGTTCTTCTTTTTTATATATATGCAGTATGCTGTATCTTCCAGTTCTGGCAGTAATAGGCTCTAAATGGTAAAGGGAGGTGTTATCCTGAGAAAGTGTTTCTATATTGCAGCCAAAAACAAGTACAAAGAAAATACAGGTAAGTAAGATAAGATTCTAAGTCAGAAACACTCACATAAGAGCACAGTTCCACAGTGGTACCAGGATGGAGCTGGTGATTATATACAATTAGCAGGAATTGCTGTTCTGTTAGGGAAGAAAATAATTTTGTACTCTGAGACCTGAAGTAATTTTTTTCCTGTTCAAATGTGTTCGTAATCTCTCCTAATCGTTAGAAACAAAGCGGTTTAGCATACCAGTCTTTTTAAGTTACAGAAACTGAATGTGCGTGCTGCAGGACAACCACTTTAAAAACTGTGTGTTTCTAAGGTCTTGTTTCTCTCTGATTGTGAAGCGAATGAAAACAGCTCCAAGGATTTGTTCTTTGTTAAAACAGAGCGATTATTCTCTCACCCACAATCTTTTGGATTATTTTTAATTTGGACGAGGGAATCCTTCATCAGTGGAATATCTGAATCTGTACTGTGTAAATGCCATTTTCCTGACTGCTTTGTGAAGCGTGTGTCTCACAATCCCTCATTAAATAGCAACAGAATAGAAGCTTTTCTCTTGAACTCCCTTTTACTCAACACAGTTTCTCACTGTTACAACCAGCTGCTAGTATTCAAAGTGAATGCTTGTTAGTTTTGAAATGACAGTACTACTTCTGTGACCAATTACCCGGGACGTCTTGATGCAGTAATCTTCGGAAAATAAACATGTATTTAAGACATGAGGGGAATCCTTTCCCTTTCCTTATCCCACATTCTGAGTATGATTGTAGCCATGAACAGCTAGAGGATTAAAGCTCTTAAGCTATGGAGACCATAATTTGTAATAGGGCATTAATCTGGGTTTCTTATCGAAGGAAAAGCGGAGTCTTTTTTTCTGTAGCATCCAAACGTTATGCTTTCTAATGCATGTCAGTTCTTTTCGTGTACTCCACAGCATGCTCATCTGCCAGGCTCTCCAGCTGGTGGCAGTATCTTACAGTTTGACATTAATCATTTAGTTACGTCATGTAGAGACTGCACCTGAATTAACGTTCAGTAAGCTGAGCTGATAGAAAATCCAATCCCTCTCCTTTTGTTTTTTGAGCATCAGAAAATACAGTGAAGCACTGGGGCATGGGAAGAACTCCAGTTTTGAAAAAGACAGTGTAGGAAACTGTGGTTTAGAACAACTCAACAAACATCATTGATATTTTCATTTTAAAAATCCCAATTAAGACCATTAATTGAGAATGACAGAGGACAACGTACCATTCCAGTGCCAACATACTTTCTGATCCCTTTTGTCATCAACTAGTTAGTTTCTTTGTTGGAAATTACAAAGTAAACATTAACATCTTCACATATGCTAAGAAAAAATATCAATAATAAGCTTTCTTTCATATTTTAATATTTCAGTAATTATTTCCTTAATCTTCTGTTTCTGATCTTGCTACCTTAGCAAAAACAGCTAAATGCATGCTTTATTTTGGAATTAGCAAACTGAGGCAAGTATTAAAATATGTGATTGTGGAGAAATCAGGCTCTAGATTATCTACTGTTGTAGTTGCTAATGACTGAAAAGGCAGGGAAGAGTACACGTTAACTGGAAATGCAAGAATGAACCACAGGTTTTTAAAATCGGTCCATATCCAAACTTGCGTTTTGAGGGTTCATCTACTCATGGAGTGTGATTCTTAACACTTAAGGTCAATACTTAGGTTGTTGAGCTTTCATCTGGGTGATTGTTAAAAACAGGTTGCTTAATGCCAGAGGAAGGCCATAGTTTTGATCAGGAAGGTGTATACTATTCAAATTGAAATGGGTAGAAAATGGTAAGAAACAATAATGTATTTGTTACTGCTTGTGTTTCCCAGCCAGTGCGTTATTATCTTACAGAGATTCACTCCAGTACATATATTATCTTAAAAACAGTACTTTTATATATTGTTCCTTGAACTCAGGCGAATGTAAGCAGCGTTTCTAGCAGTGCTTATGAGTTCTTACACTCCTTCTCACTGCACGTTATCAAGTGATAACTGTATATTACACGAACAAGACAGTGGTATGGCTTGGTTATTTCTGTTGCCGCCTTTCAGTCTCAACGCTCTTTGTGTCAGTCTGTGCCCAACAGATTAGGGAGTTACAATGGCAAGGACAGCAGATGATGCTATTAATTCAAGTAGTTGATACAGGGGCTCCCTAGTTTAAAAAAAAAAGTATCAAAATTACCTTGGATAAGGAGGGTTATTTGTTATCTTTATATCATTCTGTTTCTGGACTGAAAAGGACCTCCTGGGCCAAAGAAATGCTTCTCTGCTATGTTATGCCATTATGTGACGTGGCATCCATTTCATAAATAGCAACAGCAGCAATATTGCTGGTGGAAGGCCATTTCCTTTATTCCAGTTTAAATTTATTACTGATCACTTTACACTCCTCTACACTTACTCTCCTCTACAATCAGCATTGTCCTTTATCTTAAAGAGTCCCCTTCCAGCGACACTCACACTAGTGTTTATCACCTTGAAGTATTTATAGATACCATTCATATTGTTTACTAAATAAACCAATATTCTTAGTGTTCTTGAACTCTAGAGCATCTCAGTAGTTCTCGTCTGCATCTCCTCAGTTCTTTTTAGAGGTGATGATGACTGAATCTTTAAGAGAGGTCACACTATATTTTCTGTATTAGTGTTGTATTTCCTTATTTCTAAAAAATCTACTTTATCTGATAACTATGAGGATTGTAATGTTCTCTTATGTTTGTATGGAATAGTATTAATGACTAACCAGGGGGTTCCACAAATACTATTTCACCACCTTAGATGTGGATTTGTGTAAGAGCACAAATTTTGAATAAATTTATGCTGTACTTCTGTATACATTTACATTTCACTTCTTAATGAACTTATAGTGAATTGTAGGTTTTCTTTTTTCACTTTCAAGACGTTACCTTCTTTGGATAGACATCTGACCTAACCTGTCTCGGATTTTGTCCGTCATTTATCTCCTGAATTACCACTTGCACCAACCCAGAACTTTAAAACCAGATCTGAAAT